AGCTTGCTCCAAGCCCCTGTGTCCAACCTGGCCTTGACATTTAAAGATTATTATAAAATAGCATAAAAGATATTTTTAATCAGTTTGGTTTCTTTTATTGCTCTTTGTAAATGACTTGAGAGTCCAGCTTTAACAGCACTGGGCTACCCCTTCTCAGTTTAGGGATGCCCTTTATGGTACCAGTGCCCTGTTCTAACCAATTGGCTATGTTGAGTGTGGTATGTGCTCAGCTACTGCGCTATACATACTGCCCTGATTCCCATTCCTGATGCCCCTCGTCGCATGGATATGGGACTGCTGCTAAAGGGCAGGGTGTCCAGCCTATAGTTTGCTTCCTGAGGGATATTTGCTGTCTATTTCTTATCTTATTCAATTCCTTTTATGCTTTTCCACTAATTTGTGCAGTACAGACTATGAAGTACGTGGCCATGTCCATGCTATTAAAGAGCCTTTCATTGGGAGATACATAATACAATTTAATGCACTAAATTGAGAAATTAAAACATCACAGAATCAACAAGTGAACTTAAGATACTAAATCTGCCTTGATCTCTGGTGAGCAGATCTTACACAGCACGTTTTCTGTCTTTGACAGTCTGTTTCTAATGAACAAATACACAAATGACTTTTGTTGCTGAAACCATTTGAAGTTATACCTGTTTGTACAACTGTTATTATTATGGATATTGTTCTCAGTGGCGTTATAATAGCATAGCTCTCAAATGTCACGGTACCCATGACCATCCACTGATTGTTTAAGCTGAAAATTGTGTAAGATAAATCTGCACAAATGCAGAAGCTGCAAACTGCCTTCACCTTGATTTCTTACAGAATTTTTCCGTGGCTTCATCCTTGTACTGATTTTCATAGTTTAAATAAGGACTTTTCCAGTGATTTACAAAACCACACAATGTTGCTGCCATCCAGGGGAAAGGAGCTCTTTTGTCCCATTATACCACGCAGTAAAGACGTGGCTGATTAACTGATAAAAACTTAACCACATCCTGAGGGCAGTGGCACAGGAATTCGAATGATGCTCTTCAGAACTGCAGAGCCAAATACGTTTCCTATGGCTCATGGATTCTGAAAAGGGGAACAGGGCTGCTGCATTTACTCATCTCGATGATAGCGTGAATTAAACACAGCAGCTGTAAGCCTGACACGTCTGTTGCTTTCATAATGCTGTAGTGAGTCAGAGTTAACCCAGGCTTTTGTTTTTCCTCAAAGAGCATCAGGAAAAACCCCTCATGGACATTGTTGCTGAGCAGAAAGAAAATGTTTTACTGATGTGAGTTTTGTTTCTTTACTTATCTGCTGTGTGTTCGCTCCTTCATGTGCAGGGAACGGACCGTGAAGTACATTTCTCTTTGGATTCTTGCTATGAATTTCAGTGTACTTCAGGTATGTTTGCTCGCTTGTGCATGGCCATATGTGACTCTGTCATCTCAGTGAAGACAGTATTTTGCTTAGGAGAAATTCAACTTGGGTTAAAAGAAAACCCCAAATTCTCCACCTGTTTCAATGCAAAGAGAACTTGAGAATGTTTGCTGAGCAGAAACGGTGCACAGAGTCATCGAAACCAGGCTGAAGGGACCTCAAGGATCATCTGGTCCAACCTATCTAGGCAAAGCAGGACCTACACTAGATACCCCAGCACCTTGTTCAGCCAGATCTTAACACTGTCCAATCATTGGTTGTTCTCATTGTGAGGAATTTTCCTCTTGTGTCCAGTTGGAATCTCCCCAGGAGTAACTTGTGCCCATCACCCCTCATCTTTTCCATGGGACTCTCTGTGTAAAGGGAGCCTCATCTTCTTTGTGGCCACACTTTAAATACTGGGTTACCAAGCATAGGAAAGCCTGTGGGATGTGTGGCACGTGGGGCAGGTTGCAACGCGTTTACACCCTCTACTCATAGGGAAATGAAGTCCAAGGAGGCAAAGAGATACGGAATAGGCAAGCCCAGGACAAGCTGTGCTGGTGAGAAACAGAAAGGATAATTTGTGGTGTTTTATTATCTGTATGCTCTGAACAGCACTTGGTGTTAGGCCAGGTCAAACCAGAGCACACAGAAAGCCTTGTTTGCTTGTTTGTGGGGTTTTTTTTCTCGTCCAGCTGATCTTGTGCCATGTTTGGTTGAGAGTGGGCAAATTGGCTTTGTATACCTTGGTGGTAAATGTAAGAACTGTTCTGCCCAAGAGTTTTCTTAGGGTCAGAAAAGCCACCGTGCTTGTTTTGTGAGCTCGGTTGCTCATCTATTTCAGTTAGGTCTGTATACCATCTCGGAGACCCTTCCTCAGCCTTTTTCATCAGGTTAAAGGAGGCTTGTGCAATTAAGCTGACTGCAGCAAAGATAATGAAGCCTTTTGGAAAGCTGAAATCTCTTGCTTGAGAGAGGATGCTTTCCTCCTCTGAAAGCTCTTCTCTTTGCCTCCTCTGCAATACTCCTGCAGTACACGATTCAGAAAGGTGTAACATCTATTTGACCTTACAACTAGCAAAGAAAAACTTCAGGGCTACCCTTCAACTGGGTACCAGAGCTGGGCAGCAGGGGCTTCATGGTGTGACTTTAGGGTCAGTCTCTGCCTCTGCTGGAGGATGTTGTGCTTTAGCCCCTGGAGACCAGTGCACCACTGAGTGTGTGCAGCAGGTTGGGTCTATCTCAGCACAGAATGAGAAAACCTGGGCTTTCCCTGGCTGAGATCCTTGGGCCAGAGCTCTCGGGAGGTTGAAGAGTCCAAAAGGAGGTTTTATGTGCTTGAAAGCTTGAAATGTGTTTTGAGTTCTGTAAGTTGGCCTAGTACAATAACTAACTCCCCTTATGCATTCACTTACTTCAGCATTCCTGTTTCTTTCAAACCTGTTTCACACCAGGTACTTCAAACTGTGTATTCTGATAGTGTGAGCTTTATGGTCATCTCTGGAGAACTGGGGTAGGGATAGAGCTTAAGTGTTAGTAGGAAAGAAGTTGCCTGCTTGGAAGTGGAAAAAGGAAGTCCCAAGGCAAGGAAAGCCCATATGTGATCTCTCCTGGGATAAAGGAAGAGTTGTACTAGACACTTTCAAATGTTTAATGGTGTGGGGCCTTAAGACGGGGAGAAGAGCAGGAAACTGGGTACTTTCTCATCTCCTTTCTGTGGACCCCCTACAGTGTTTGTGGGACTTTTTGTTCAAGCACTTTGTCTAACTTTCCTCACATTGTTTCAATAATTCCTCACACTTTACAGTACCCTGACCTTACACTTTTGATTTGGTTAGCAAAAACTTTCTCATATCTGATGTCCATCCAAGTAAAGCCGGTGCTTTCATATGTCTTTACAGTTTTGTCCGTGTCAGCAAGATGCTTTCTTCAGCTGCATTATCTCAAAAATACAGAGAGAATTCCTACATCTGTGAAATCCTCAAGTGCCTCTAACATTTCATTCTCTCTGAATGCCAACTGCCTCCATTGTGCCTTTAAACTTAAAGTTAAAACTTAAACAGGGGAAGTTTAGATAGGATATAAGGAGGAAATTCTTTCTTGTTAGGGTGGTGAGGCACTGGAATGGGTTGCCCAGGGAAGCTGTGAATGCTCCACCCCTGGTGGTGTTCAAGGCCAGGTTGGATGAAGCCTTGGGTGCCATGGTTTAGTGTGAGGTGTCCCTGCCCATGGCAGGGGCATTGGAACTGGATGATCTTAAGGTCCTTTCCAACCCGAACTATTCTATGCTTCTAAATCCAAAACCACCACATGCTTTTCCTAATGTAACTTCACTAATTCGTTCTAAAGAACAACTTTCTTTATCCAATCAAAGCACTGCATCTTAAAATATATTTTCTTTCATTTAGTAGCACACTTTATGCATTTGAGTGGAAGCCAACTGTATTCCACAACCATTTTCCATGAAGGTTTCCGAAATTCAATACAGGAGGTGACACTCACAAGGCCCATTTACTCTGATCCTCATCATCATGGATTAGTTACCACTAAGACCGGCAACGTATTTTCACATTTCTTTTGGGAATGTTTCTGCTAAACAGGCAGACAGGGAAAAGTGGAATAAATTCTACTTAAAAATTCCACTTACAATCTATCACAACAGCAGGGATTAAACTCTTTATCAGGAATTGCAGTGCACAACATGTCGAAGACAAGCGATCATTCTAATTTCGTGTATGTAGATGAGGAAAGGAAGGATAATATAAGGATTATTCCTATTTGCACTGGAAAATCATCATAAATGAAGGCAGCAATAGGTCACATGAAACCAGTGAAATCAGTGCTATTCCCTTCGCTTTAATGGGCTTCAAATCAACAGCAGGACTTGCTTAGGTTTTGTGGTAGGTCAGAACAGAGGAGAATACCTTACTATAGGAAAAGCCCTGAAATATTAACTCAGAAAAATGAAGAAAATAAGCAACCACTTTCTTCACATTCTCCTCTCAAAATTCAACATATTATTCTCTGTCTAACATTGAAAGTTTATTCGGGTTTATGTTACGAGCAATATTGTCCCTAAGTAACAGCTTATTGTCAGTATGAGGTGGGAGATGCTGGAGGATAAGAAGAAAGCTGATTTCCTCCAAGTGTATCTCCTAGGTAACAGCAGTAGTTTGTTTGTGTTGTCAACTTTTGATTAAAGGAATGTATTTTCTTAGATATCTGTATGAGGCTTTGTACAACGGGGCACAAATTTTCTTTATTGGTCCAAAGAAAATAATATCAAAACCCCGATGAGAAGATACTTGGAATATTGATTTTCTTAAATTTGAGGTTTTTTTTATTCCAATTCCGTTCAGATACTTTATGGCCTTTTCCTGAGCAAACAGTTCATACACCCTGCCATTTTTCTAAGTGCAACTGTGGTACTGTGTACTGTTCTAGCAGGTAAGTGGTAAAAGCAGTGGCAATGTTGCTACAAGTCCTTCAGTAAGGAACAGTAATGGGAATTACAAGAAAAAATTAATCTTTAACTGCAAAAGTAATAATAAAACCATGGAAAATTGGTGCAACATCATTACCTGGCCTGCTTATGAAGTCACAGTGTCCAAAGCCTGCTATATCCATCCTCTTGAGGAAGAGCACCGTGCTCCTTAGGTTTGATTCCTGTATTTTGGCCGGTAGATGCGGTTTCATTTCTTTGTATGTAAATTCTTCAGGGTACAAGCAGAAGATTTTTCCTGGAAAAGATTTCAGGAAAATCACCTTATTTTATTTTTTTTTTTTTGCTTTGCATTGATTCTATGAATAGTTTGAGCTAATGGATGTAAATTTTGAGCTAATAATTCTACCTGATGAAGACATGCCCAGAATTTGTTTATGCATCTCTGCTTGACTTTTGCTGATAGGCTGCGTTATAACAGAGTCTGCTCTGATTCTAGGATTGTACACCTTTAAATGAAAGAGATATCAAGCATCAGATAAATAAGCGAAGACTACAAAAATAAGAATGGTCTGTACTGAATTTTTGTTTAAGTCATTTTACAGAAAGCATAGTAACAGGTTCATTTCTTTTTATACTGCCTATGTCACCTGCTTGGAAATGAGAGCAATCAGCACTTTGATCAATCGATAGACACTTAAGTTTTCGATAACTCTGTAAGTAGACTCAAAGGTAAATGTGTTTTTCTGAAGAAATGTACCTTACCAGAGCACAAAATGTATAGCATCAAAAAAGATAATATATTTCTTCCATATTCTGATAACATTTTGTTCCATTACTCCAGATTTTTGTCTCAATACTGAAATCTGTCACTTCAGTGCAGGAGACGAGGACTGTATCAAAGATGTACAATGCCCCATTTTATTCTTGTTAATTGTACTTTATTGTAATTAAGCTGAGGAGCTGATTCAGTCATCGTTCTGACCACCATGATGTTCATAAGTGAGACATTAGAACTGGTTGCCCAGAGAAGCTGTGGCTGCCCCATCCCTGGCAGTGTTCAAGGCCAGGTTGGACACAGGGGCTTGGAGCAAGCTGCTCTAGTGGAAGGTGTCCCTGCCTGTGGCAGGGGTTGGAACTGGATGAGCTTTAAGGTCCCTTCCAACCCAAAATATTCTATGATTCTGGATAGAAATATAACTTCTGGATAAGGCATCTGGTTATGCCATCTGAATCAACTTTGTCTACTTTAATCAGGGTTTTAATAAATAAGATAAAATGTGTTTCAGGGGACAAATTTGTTTTCCTACAGATAAATTTATGATAAATCCCAGCTGCAAGAGTTATGTAGGATTTTGTTCTGCACAAAACTTTTCCTGGTCCCTCTGTGTTCAGCTGACTTCCACATCCATATAGATTGGATGTGAATTTGACCTGTTGAGGAATGAATGTGAGGGGACTACATTTCAGCTGTTAGGACCTAATTAATTTAATTGAATTAAAGTGTAAAAATTGCATAACTGATAGAGGTGATTTGGTTTGAAGTCCATCAGGACTGTCTTGAAACTGATTTATTCCTATTACTTCATATTTCTGATTCACAGGAGACTGGAAGCACTGAATTTTACTTTTGACTTCAGGTTACCATGGAAGTGAGATTCATTTCCATCACCCAGGATGACTGTCATTTCACAGGTAAGTGGAGTTATGCATGGTCTCATTGAAACCCTTGTAGTCTTTTGTTTGTATAAGACAAGTTTTTTTCCTTTAGTTGAATCCGAGTTAGTTTATAACCCCCATATGAGAACCTTTAATTTATCAGCGTTAGGCACTGATTTCTTGCAATGAAAATGGAAAGTACTGGTAGTTCCCAAGCCTTCTCCTGAACTTCTTTCAAGGCTGATCAGGATTAATGATCCCTGATCCAGAATTTTAGGAAGACTTAACTTATATTTTGGTGATTCCGTTCTGGATTAAATCATGAAACTTTGTTATATTGGTTCTTTTGCCCATTACTGGAATATTTATTTTGACTAGCAAAACACATAGGACAGTTACAAAGCCTGTAGTAGTGCAGCTTTCTGATTTAAGTAATGACTTGCTCCTACATAATTACTCATTCTTTAGGACATCAGTTTTGTATAAATGAAAGAAGCGAGAGAGCTTGTTTTTACAGCAGCAATAATCCTTCCTAGGATGGAGTAGGAAACAAGAACTGAGGACACACTTATAATACTTAAAATGAACTGTAAAAGATCAAGATCAATTGCAGTGTTTTGAGGTACTTGGATGGAAGGAGAACAAACAGCATTAAAAGGGAGTGGTTCCCTGTGTGAGCATCCCTTGATGTTAAATGAGCTGTGGCACTACACTGATTACTAAATTATTAAACAAAGGATGAAGTTAGTCTATTAAACCAGGTAGTCTGCCAAGAGATAGAGCAAAACGCAATTGGTTCTTGGCTATCTGTAAGATACTGTAGAGATAATGAGGACTGATTGGCCAAAATTAAGGTGAGGTATAGTTTGCAAATGAAATGTCATTGGTTTGGTGCCCAAATGAGTGACAGCTTCAGCTGGGAGGGTTAATTGGGGTTTAGAAACCTGAAATTTTTCTTTCTTACTGAATTTAGGAAGTAACTGTGATTTCTTGCTTGGTTTTTTTTTGTGTGTGTGAGATGCCCATTAAAGTGATTTCAATTTCGTTGACTTGAATGTTAAAAATGTGATAGAATCTGATTTATGAAAGAACAGAGACATATTTGGTCCTCTAGAAACCATTTGATTCTATCTATCAGCTGCACATTTCCCTTTCCCCCACCCTGAAACAAACATTATGCATAGTTCATCTTTGGCATACTGATTCTGGTTAACTCAACTAACCTTCCTTGTCCCCACACCGCCGTCGATGACAAAGGTTACATTTTTAATCCGAATCAGAGACTCTCCAAAGCTTGTGGTGAGCAGCACTTTCCTTCTGTACTTTTTGCAGGCTTTCTGCTTGTCTTGATGTGGTTTGGGAATTAGGTCTTGTTTTATGGGGTATAGAGGAACTGGGATGAGTTCTCCAAGGTCAGGGTTTAAATTGGACTGTTCCTGCCTGATCATTTGGTGAGCTTTTTCTATTTCCTGTAATCAGGAGAAAGATTCATTTTTAGTTTCCTCGTGAGTATGAAAAGCAAATCTCAGTATTTAATTTTAAAGCAACTCTTTTATTCTAAAATTAATTTTAACTATGTATCAAACTATAACATTTAAATCTTACCTGATTAATAATTAAAGGGAAAAAAGGAAGGGAAGAGAACTACGTATGAGAATTTACTGGCTGTATCCCCTAACCATAGACCAGGGAAAAGTTGAACTGTTTTATGAAATGTCTTTTTTCCTTCTGCAAGTTAAAACATAGTCTTCTCTAGCTTTAATCATATCCAAACCAACCTCCAGGTGAAGATAGATATGTTACAAACACAGTGCCAGAGTAGCAAGGCTGAGAAATGATGAAACAGGCACTAAACTTTACACCTATAGACATATAGGATGCATCCACATCAGTGATTTAGTGCCAAGGAGTTTGGTGCAAGTTTATATGCGTGTAGGGCTGATCAATGCTGTAGCAGTTAGTCAGGTGCCACACTGGTGTGCCCAAAGTGATTTATCTTCTGTACCTAACCAAAGTTAGGTACATGGGGTGCCCTGAGTGGCAGCTCTCTATATGTGCATAGTGCGCCCCAGTGAGGCAATGGGATTCATAGCAGTCTTCCAGTATCTGAAGGGGGCTATAGGGATGCTGGGGAGGGACTCTTCATTAGGGACTGTAGTGACAGGACAAGGGGTAACGGGTTAAAACTGAAACAGGGGAAGTTTAGATTGGATATAAGGAGGAAATTCTTTCCTGTGAGGGTGGTGAGGCACTGGAATGGGTTGCCCAGGGAGGTTGTGAATGCTCCATCCCTGGCAGTGTTCAAGCCCGACTTGGACAGAGCCTTGGGTACCATGGTTTAGTGTGAGGTGTCCCTGGCCATGGCAGGGGGGTTGGAACTGGATGATCTTAAGGTCCTTTCCAACCCTAACTATTCTATGATTCTATGTTCTTAGTTTATTCATATCTTTGTTCAGTTTAAAAGACAGCTGAGTGCTGGGGAACAGTGAGCCGTTAGCGGAATGAAACTTCAAATCACAGTTCAGCAGGAAGGCACGGGATGTGAACTGTGTGGTAACAGTTCATAATGACTGTTCTATTCTTTGTGAGAGAGAAAACTATGTAATCTCTTAACAAACAACAAGACAGGAATTATTATTTTAGTATTGTGGGGGATTTGCCCATCAGTTGAAGCAGAAATAAAACTTTCCTCCCAGTTCTTTGAAGTGGAAAGACTGTTTTCTCTCTAACATTACCCCTATTTTAAACAGGGGAACAGATACAGAAAATGTATTAGTTTATCAGCTGTAAAATTTGTGTCTATAAAGTTTACAATTGATTATTAACACTATTACAAGTGCTACATACCCACCCCCCTCTTTGCAATGAAAAACAATAGTATCTGGGTTGTTTATGGTAGTTTATCTTTGCTTGTGAAAAGTCATTATCTACTGGAGCTAAGGTGAATTTGTTGTTCTAAAGCAGGTTCAATAATACAAAGTGGAAGGCTGGAGATCACTATCAAGAGATAGATAATAATAGTGTTAAATTTATCATAATTTTAAGTCTTAAAATATATACTTGATGGGCAGATTGCTTTGACATCTATAAAGGACCTGATTGTGCAGTCCTGGCAGCAGTGAATTTAGAGTGTCAGTGCTGTCTTTAGGGGTTCAGGGATGCTCTTATTTAGAATAGTCAAGCCCATGCAGATTCCTGGATCATCTGCAGCACCTCCAAAGTGATATTTGCCTCCTGCTGTTGTGTACACAAATGGTTGGGAAGTTTGCAGCCATAAAGGAGAATACACACGGAAAATCCTTGTAGGCACGTGTAAGGTAAAAGCATTCCTGAGCAGAAGGACATTTGTACAAACTGGACCCGTGTCCCTTCCTGCAGAACAGGGATAACAAGAAGTGCCTTATGCCCAATGTCAGAATAGCTGCAATATATTAACTCCTGCATCTGTACCCTTGTCCCTGTATATTGACTTTGCTGCTTTTTTTATCACACAGGAGGTTGATGGTGTTTCCTTAAGGCTACAGAAAATCTGATAGTTCTTTGTATTAATGTATTCTGTACAGATAATACACTGTTATGTATACCATAACTTCTTTGTAGGAAAAACCTGAAATGATAAAACCTGCTGGCAGTGTCTGGTGTCTTCCATACTGGTATCAAATATTATAGATCCTATAAAAACACAGATGTAAATAATTTCCTGATTAAAATCGGACATATTGGAATTGGTTAATAACTTACTCGTTCACATGCCAGAAAGACGACAATGTCTCCCTTCTCTTTTGAGTGGTGTATCTCAAAGAGCAGTCTTAGTGCAGACAGGAAGGGGTCTTTCTGAATGCTGCAAGAGTAGACAACCTCTGCTTGGTGTTTGCTTTCCACTCTTATGAGGGGGATGCTGCCATAATATTGTTGCAGTTTGCTGGACATGTGAGGGGCAGTGAGTATTACCAGCCTTAGTTCTGGTCTTGATAGCAAGACATCTTTAAGGAGGGCAAGTAGCGCATCTGTTGCAACAGTTCTTTCATGCACATCATCCAAGATGATAACACCGTAATAGTTCAGAAGAGGCGTAGACATCATTTCCCTTTGTAGCATATCATCTGTACAGTATCTGTAACAAACAAACAGAAAACTCTGCAAAGTTGCTTGGAATATCCGGATGTGGCTGTAAGAAATTAACTCAGGATCTTGGAGACAGTTTGGTCCTTTCTGTTCAACAAGAAAGATTTGCTAAGAACAGAGAGTCTATTCTGTAGATGTTATCACAGTCTCAACTACGTGTTTAAATGTGAGCTACCTGGTCTAATGGAAGATGTCCCAGCCACTGGCAAGGGGTTAGAACTAGGTAAGCTTTAAGGTCCCTTCCAACCCAAATCATTCTCACACCGTAAGGCTCTCCTCACTTTATCCTTTTTATTCCCACTGATACTGAAAATGTTTTAATTCTAATATTTTTTGCTCTTGCTCAGCAGGATTTTGGATTCTTGAACCGGGTTGCGATGCGTGAGAGGATAGGATTTGTTTCCCTTTCATATCAGGAGCAGCTGCAAGAAGATGTGCTGCACGATGAGGTTTACAGAGTGGTTCGTAAAGGACACACAAAAGGAAGAGCAGTCGAACCTGAGCTTTCAGAAGTGGTGAGTATCCTCTTCTCCACTGGTAATCAGTGGCTGGTTTAGGACCTAGATCTTAGAGTTTGTGCCTGACATATTAAGGAAGCAGGGAAAATGAATCTCCTAACTTTCAGAGAAGCTAAAAATCTGAATCTCCCTCTGTTGCTGCTGTCACCTGCCTATATTTAATATATGAAGTGCATTTCTTATCTCTTAAAAATCCTCCTAAATGATTTTTTTTCCCCTTGTTACTGAATATACCCTTCTCTAGCTGTGATTTTTGGTTACTTTTAAATTCCAGCTTTACTTAGTGATAGATTATCCCATGTTCTCTTATGGCAATGAAGACTCCTGGAAAATAGAGAAAACACAAGTAGAATGATACGGGGGTTACTGAGGTGCTTAATGAAGATTTGCACAGATGATAGCCTTGCCCACTTAAATCTCTACTACAGTTTAGCACAGAATACATCCTTCAAGCCTTTTACAGCTTATGATTCATCACTAGATCTTCAGTATCTGCACTTTACAATATTAGACACAACTTTACAAAGCAATGTTGGGGGGTTATTTTGTTTTCATACTGTATGCAAAGATCTTTGGCAGCTGCAGCAGTGTTCCCCCATGATTGTTAGGTTGTCTGTCCCGACCACGTTAGTAGAGCAGTGCAATGAAGGGCTGGAGTGCTGTCAGCTGCAAACAACTCTAAGCTACAGGTTAGTTTGAATTAAAACCCAAGCACAAACCTCAGGATAGTTTCTGTTGTGCAGCAGCTTTCAAACGGGATGAAATACCCCACTTCATGGCCAACATTGACATCCATTTCATCAGCTACGCGCAGCGCCAGCCGCACCGCTGTCTGCTTGTGAACCTGGGTGCATACAACTACACCGTGTTGATAGCAGGCAGAGAGGCAGTACTCAGCACACCACTGAGGGATCTGGGAATAAATAAGAAAAGATATATCTGCTATTTGATGTGCTTAGCAGGGACTGTAATGCAAAAGAAGTAGACAGAACTAGAACAACCTGAGCTCCCATTGTGTGACTGCTGCACTTAACAGAAATGATCTGCCCTGTTACATGTCAAGACCTAGACTTTCTTCCGTAGTCAAGTGTTGGAGGTTCTCCTGGGAATTTCTTATTTCTCAGCTGGACTCAGATTAGTTTGAATATAGAGCAGAAGGGACAGAATTGGCCTCTGAGCAGCATCTAGCACTGGCAGTGTCATCCTTAAGCATCTGCTGATGGATCCAGCAATCTTAGTGCAGTTGTTATCGGGGGTTTCTCAGCTGGCTCAGCAGTAAATTTGCCTGTGCCATATCCTATTCAGGTGCTTGACATGAGAAACATGTCCTGGGAAGAAGAGGATTTTAAACTGACAAATGCCATAGGAAATATATGTAACTTCGGATTAATTACTCTCTAAGCAAAGACAGCTTAAACTGAGCTGCTCCAGAAATGCATAGAGTGGCTGTCTAACTTATATAGTTACAGTAGAAAATACACACTAGAAAATATGAATGTGTCAAGAGAAAGTAAAATTACATTATAAATATTATTGTAGTGAAAGCATTAGGTTTCAAATCCTTGACTTAATCAACATACATAACCTGAGTGCATGAGTCACATATCACTTATTCCTCTATAGCTACTTATGTTTCTAGAAATGTCTAAAACTCAGCCAGCAATGCGTTAAACTTGTTTAAGGATGATTTAAATGGCTGCCCTTTCTTAGCAAGGAGTTTAGTGTTACACAAAGTTTGTTTTGTATAAATTAAAGTCAATTACAAGGGGTGAAGACTTTGCACTCCAAAAAATATTCCCAGCACGAGATAGGTGTGTATCCATTTTATAGGAATGCAGAATTTCCAGTGAGATGGATGTCTCTGGTTCCATATGTAATCTCTAGCAGTGTCCAGCACAAAGTCTCTGGCAGATATGAGATGCCCTGCAGCAGTAGTTATCCTGCAGCTTTACCTGCAGGGAAGTTTTCTCCTGATCCCACTCATAAACAGTATTCCAACTTACAACGCTTGAGAATTCTCTGCTTACTATGGTAACAGACTTAGGTTCTTCTATATTATTACAGCAGAACTTGATAAGTCCTAGTGGCTGTTTGTGTGTTTAGGGTAAATTGAGATCTTGGCTTCAGTGATGTCTTTTAACCTGAGTTCTGTAAAGTGTGTATCCTCTGAAAAAGCATTTGCTCTTGGCTGTAGTGAGGGAAAGGCCATTACTTCTCCCTGCGAAGGAGCCATACTGGTTTCAGTCCTTCATTTCCTGAGGACTTTTTTCACCTTCTCTTATGACCTGCCTGCAAATCCACTGTATTTCTTTCCTGATTTAGCATTAATCAGAACCCAAACACACTTTCTAATTAAGAGTATGTATTGAATCCAAGACAGGCATTGCGGAGTTGATAATTTGCACTCGGGGTTCAGGGTGATGGTGGGCAAAAAAAGGATAAAATGGCAAGCTTACACTTAAGAAGTTTAGACATTAGGAAGAATCTCTTTACTATGAGGGTGGAAGGTATCTCTGCTTGTGGAAGGGGGTTGAACTAGATGATGTTTGGAGTCCCTTCCAATCCGAATCATTTATGATTCTATGACTTGTCATTGTTAAGGAGAAGGCAAGGAAATTCTCCAAACGAGCAAAATAGTGCCCAGCCAAATGTAGAAGGAAAGATTTATTTCAGGTTGCATTACTATTTTACCAGTGAGTCCTGAATATTTTACACTTAGCCTTGGCCTCTCTGAAGGAAACACAGCTGTAATTTCAGTCGAGAAGGATTTCAGCTGATACATTCTGTATTACACTTGAAAGCATGTGTTGGATAGGTTTTCAAGTTGAGATGTGATGTGGTACACCGAGCAAAAATGTACAGGGCACATACAGGTAGATGCAATAATGTTTTATACAGGATTTTTCTCAGGTTATGTGTGTATTTGGTTCTGAATTTTAAGCTGTAGTAGTTAGTGCATTTGGTCTTTAGTGTTCAGAAAAGGGTCGAGATTTGTAAGTTTAGTATTTAGTAATAAAGAAGTTGTAGTTTGAGATTTTTGTTGGTGGCTTATGACACTGTTTCGGACAATTCGAGCCTGAGAAATGTCATTCTTCACTGCTCAGCTTGCCCTTAAGCTCAGAAGACATCATCGACCAAATAAAAATGGTTTGCAAGGGAAAAATGTAGTCAGTGTCAACTGTTGGTGAGAATTTGCAGGATGTTATTTAAATACATGCTCTTATATTTTAAATCTGGTTTTGTCCACATTAATCTTTGTTCACCTTCTGTAGTTCACTTTCCCTCTCTGGCCTTAATACCTCAGATTACAACAAATGGCTGCACATCTGTTTCTACACTGAGATCTCCTGAAGTCAGTATGTACATACACGGTGGCTGAACTCTTAACTGGAGGTTCTTGTAGGGCAATACCATACTGTACTCAGCATAGCAATAGCCCACTTCTAACAGAAAGCAGATACTAGTAGAATATAAATCTAGATATTGATACAAGTAAAGGACAACAGCTGTGAATAGTGAATTCATGGCAAAAAGGTTTTGCTGTTTTCAAAATATGTAATGTCAGTGAAATAATAATAGTAAGTGTGCAACATTAAATGTTCTAGTAATAATTAAACGCACCCCCCCAGCCAAGTGTGTTGTACTGACCTGGGAGCTCTTGCCAGTCTTAGCATGTCCTGACACAATCACAACTTGATTATGAAGCAAACTTTCCAGAAAAGTCTGTTTCTCTTTCCATACTGGGAGTTCTTCTCTTTCTTTCAGGAGTTTATAATAACGGGAAGAGTAAGGCAAGCCATCAAAAGGATTAAGCTCAAAATCTTCTCCACATACTAGTATTTCCTCTTCATCACCATCGCTGCAGTCAAGCAATTCTGAGAAGCAGTGGATCTCTGGAGAAAGGCTTAAAACCTCCATTTTTCTTACATATATTATTCCCAGCAAAACCACATTAGTGATGGAAAGAGTCCTTTGTGCACTGATTGATCATTCAGCCCCCCTAAACCTGTTGAAATCCATTTCTGCTTGCTCTAGGATTAGTATTTCCCAGCTCTTCAGTTTTAAAGTTCAGTCCAGCTGCCTCCTTTGTGGTCTGTTTGTCACCCTTCAAGTGGTTCAATCACCAAAATGAGCCCCGAGGAAATAGATTTTAAACAATCATCCAAACTCTTAAAAATAGCAATGATTAAACTGAAAGATGTTAAAGAGAAGCTGAGCAGCTTTTGCACTCTAGCAGCACGTTCAAGCCAGCCCGTGAGCACTGGCCAGTGTGTTTGCTCTTGGCTGCTACTGCTCGGCCAGGCTGGAGAATAATTGGGAAAGAGCACGCTGAGCCTGACCTTTATCACTCCCGGCTGCTTGAATAGGAGGCTCTGGAGCGATTGTTGTGATTGCAGAGATGTTAACGTGGCCAGCTAATCCCAGCACAATGGCATTCACTCCTGGGTGCAGTGAAATCGGGAGGTGGCGGCTGCGTGAAAGCGTCCATCGGGAACAGCCGCTCTTTATCTGAAGTTCTTTGCGGTGCTTTAGAAAGACAGGGTGGTAAAGAGTCATTTTATATCCTCTATCAACTCTACTTGGAAATATTTTAACAGCTTCTGCTGCGATTAAAAACCTGAAATACACTTAATACATTCAAACATCGCAGAGCGAGGCCAATTCAAACCCTTCAAGGGCACCAGAAGTGGCCTTGAAAGATGAGGGAAGAAAAAACTACTGACGTAAAGTAACGGCAACACTTAGGACTCAAAAGTAGCAAAATAGTTTCCTGGTCTTGACTGATCTGTGCTGTACCACAAGTATTGAATAACATCGTTTATTTTAGTTCCAGAGGCAAGTGTCCTCTTGAACAATGGCTCTGATCATGTCTTGATGAACAGACTGTGAGCACAATGCTTGTGTGCTTTTTCTTTATCGAGCTTTTTCTGCACTAAGTAATATAATAAAAGTTATTGCCTCTTCTTACAGATTTTTCTTGTTTCGTAGCTTTGGACCATATTGGCTGCAGTGCTATTAATGAATTCTCTGATGACAGCAGCATAGAAAACCATCAAAAAGAAGTAGGAGAAACTCTTTTGTTCAGCAGTCTGGATATCTAAATCCAAATGAGATAAGTCTAATTACATGGTGCTCACAAAACAGGCTGATTCTTGGCACTTAGAGTGGCTGGCAGCAAAGACTGACAGATTGACCGGTTTGAAGGCCAAAACCAAACGTGATCTTCTGGAAGAGCATTTCTGAAAGGCAAAAGGACCACGGGACTTACTTGCCCATTATCTAGTCTTATGGTACTGCAAAATACACACTGGATTAACCACCAGTGGGGATGTACCTGATGGGTCTAGGGAAGGTGTCCCTGTCTCTGGCAGGGGGCTGGAGCTTTAAGGTTCCTTCCAACCCAAACCATTCCAGGGTTCTATAATACCTGTGAAGATGGCAGGAGTCTGGTTTTCATGCTCAGTAACACTGAATTAGGTCACATTTAGCTGAACTTGGAAAACACTCCTTCCAGTGACCTTGGTGGATCCCTTAATACGTAATGTTTTATCTGATTCTGTGTTACATCCTTCTTGATTTATTGTTGTAAGTTAACTGCCATTGAGGTCTCTGCCTTTCTCAAATGTGGTTGAAATCCCTCAACAGGGCATAAATGTCAAGAGAGGACTGAAAGTGCAGTCCTACAGAGGATGTCTTCTGTGAAATTCATCTTAAAACGACATGGCACAAACAGGTGAATTGCTATTATCCTGTGTTCTACTTGGTTTTCCCGTGTTTAGTAGCAGTACATGCTCTCTGCTTTCCTCAGTTGCAGTATAGGCTTGTCTTCAGAACATTAAGACTTGGACAGCAGTATTTTCTGGTTCATTAAACAAATATGAATGGTCATAACACAGCAATTCTTTTGTTTTTCCTTTTGGTACCTGTGATGGAAGAGAGCCAGTTTAAATGTTACCAATCCAAGAAGGATGTTTGCTATTTGGCACCTAAATATTATGAAACTGAAATTCCTTCCGTGTTAATGAATGTTTTAACAGAACAGGCTGTTAAGTGATTTACATTATTTATCTTTGCTAAAAAGGGCTGTGTTCAAGCTTTATCTTGATCTTCAGCCAGGTATGTGATTGAGTACTTTGAGCCTCTTCCTAGAGCATCAGCCCAACAGCTCTCTGCAGGCATCTTCTCTGGCAATCGAGGGGTCTAATGAGCTAAGCCAAGCACTGGGTTAGGAGCATGATTGAGCATTGCCTTTGTAAATGAAGACATTAAAGCTGTAGCCCTGTGCTACTCAATACGCCTCATTGCTTTACCTCTGCCATTTTCTTCCAGACTACTAGTTTCTAGTCTTGCCTCCTTCAGTCCTTGATTTTGACCTCATGATCTCTGTCTATCCTGGTCCTTCCGCCTGCCTTTGAATGTCACCTGTAGTGCCCATGCAGTTGTTCTTGGCTTTGGCTTTGCTATTGAGCAAGATCTCTTCTTCCCTTTGGAGTGTTGCACCTTTTCGTGACAAGGCTTCTTGATCATCTCTTCATTGCTGTCATTATAGCCAGCCCCTCGGGATTTACAAGCTATACATTTTAACATAATACAGAAGGATTTAATTAATTCCAACAAATAACAGAAACACTCACTGCAAATGAGTGCTTTTAGTAAATTAGGGTATAAGCTGCTTTCAAAGATATCAATGAGAACTTTGCTATTGATTTAAATTATATGTTGTTGTGCAAGTGCTTATGATAATGTGCTGTAGGAAAGCAGTAAATACTACATAACATATTCTGTGTCTTTAATAAAGCCCTGTTAATATATAGGTACTCTATGCAGCTTGGCTATTAAATCTTTCAGAGGAGGAGGATTTTCTATGGGTAATTTATACAGAATTTGGATTTGTAATATCAGTGGTATTGCAGAGTTCTTTCTTCTCTGTTCCATTTTTCTTCCCCCATTTTGGCAGCAATAGGAGTGGGAATTCAAGGGTATCACTTCCTTTTTTCCCCAAGAACGTTGTTTAAATAGAGGGTGTCAGATTAAATTTGCTTCATAATGAAGCAAATGAAGCCTATGAAATATGAACGTGAAATATATGACATTTGGAAAAGCAAAATTATAGTTTATTCTTGGTAGATGAGAACCAGCAGATGCTGTCAAGAACAGTTCCTCTTTCTACCCTATTTTCCAGCACAAAATCTTTTGATACCAAATCCTTCCAGCACTCGTGTATGTCCACTGGGACATGGAACTGCATCTTTACAGCTGAAAGTAGATGGACTGTTCCTAACCTTGAGTTCCATTTGTCCTGGTGGTTTTCTAATTCTCCCTTTTAGCATAAAGAAAGATGTATGCTGGTAAAACACCCAATTATTCCTCTCCCCTACCCTTTAGACCAGGGGCTCTGAGGGTGCTTCACTGTGAGGAGCTTCCCTGTGAGGGTGCTGAGGCGCTGGCACAGGGTGCCCAGAGAAGCTGTGGCTGCCCCATCCCTGGCAGTGCTCAAGGCCAGGTTGGACACAGGGGCTTGGAGCAAGCTGCTCTAGTGGAAGGTGTCCCTGCCCGTGGCAGGGGTTGGAGCTGGGGGAGCTTTAAGGTCCCTTCCAACAGAAACCATTCCAAGATTCTATGATCTGTTTGAACTGTTTTTCTTAATGAGACCAAATGAGGATTATATGGAGCTGATGCAGTTCAGAAGACAGCCAGCCTCCAAAAGCAGACATCTTTCTCTTTTACCCGTGCAGATAGCTTAGTTGATTCCCTAGGACTGCATTATCTTTCTGAGCCACCTCTGGTTTCCCATGGCCTGAGGCTGGTGGCCTCAGCTGTGGGATTCCAGTGTCACAAACATGTCTGGGACAGGAAGAAACAAAGGCTGCCCCTGGACCATCCCCAATACTGTGGTGCTGCACCAAGGGCAGCCCGCATGCCAGGGCAGGTGTTGGAGGAAAGACAACTGGGCAATACCTAGATTTTGACCCAAGTTAAATCCTCTTTGAAGACCTGAGTAGGGCAGGGGATGGAGACAGAAGTGTCCTTGTCTGTAATAAACATTGAAACCTAACCTGTATGCATCAACCCGCTGCAGCAGATTGCGGGGGGAGGCAGTGCCAAGCACTAGTAGAATCTGGAGGTGAGAACATCACCATGATTTATAGAGTCCTATTACTAAAAATGACACTTTAATAGTCTCGGCAGGATTTTTTTCTTTTCTGGTTGCTTTTTATACTGCTATGAATATGAAATCTTGCTGCCTGGCCAACAGGCAGCAAACGTGGGAAATAAAAGGCCCTCTCATATGAAGACAGCTTCTCCGTTAGCCTACTGACAGCAACATTTAACCTTGGTTATACTGTAACTATATTACTGTTTATTGAGCAAACTGGAAAGCTAAAACAGAGAATTTCCATCGTAGAAAGACTGTAGCAGCACGGAGGAGTCACACTCCTATTGTGTTTTAATTTCCACTTAGGGTTTTGTTGGCTGGTAAAATACTATTAGTTTTGCATTACTGCTGTTAAAATTCCTGACAGTCAGTGATAGATTGGTGTAGAACAAACGCTTTCAAGTCCCCAAATAAAAATAGAAAGAATCAAGTTTTAACTCACCAGTTGCCCAGGATTAAATGAAAGCGTTGTGGGTTTTGAGCTGAAACTGTGCGTGTGTAAGCAAAATATTTAGTTGTTTTGATATTCGTTATTTTCACATCTATGTGAGTGGGAAGGAAACTTATGTAAGGCTCTTGTTTTTTCTTGTTTGTTAATTGTGGATTGAAATGTTAATTGTGGATTTAGCCTGGAGAAGAGAAGGCTGCGTGGAGACCTCAGAGCAGCCTTCCAGTATCTGAAGGGGGCCTATAGGGATGCTGGGGAGGGACTCTTCATTAGGGACTGTAGTGACAGGACAAGGGGTAATGGGTTCAAACTGAAACAGGAGAAGTTTAGATTGGATATAAGGAGGAAATTCTTTCCTGTAAGGGTGGTGAGGCACTGGAATGGGTTGCCCAGGGAGGTTGTGAATGCTCCATCCCTGGTGGTGTTCAAGACCAGGCTGGACAGAGCCTTGGGTGATATGGTTTAGTGTGAGGTGTCCCTGCCCATGGCAGGGGGGTTGGAACTGGATGATCTTAAGGTCCTTTCCAACCCTAACTATTCTATGATTCTATGAAATTGAAATTTATTTAAAATCACAATGTAATTGTTTTACATTTACATAGTTAAATAATATTGAATATAATAAGAAAATTAAAATATTTTACAATTCCATTCAGATTTATTAAGACAAGGAAGTGTGGGCTAATGACATGATAGGATGGTTTCAGATTAGCATAAACCTACAGGTTTCAAACCAAGAAAATACTCACTTTTCATGTGGAGTCTTTAATGGTCAGAAGCTGTTTTACCATTCCAGCAAGTTCTCAGTATAATCACAGAATCCCAGCCTGGTTTGTGTTAGAAGAGACCTCAAAGCTCCTCCAGTTCCAACCCCTGCCACGGGCAGGGACACCTTCCACTGGAGCAGCTTGCTCCAAGCCCCTGTGTCCAACCTGGCCTTGAACACTGCCAGGGATGGGGCAGCCCCAGCTTCTCTGGGCACCCTGTGCCAGCGCCTCAGCACCCTCACAGGGAAGAGCTTCTGCCTAAGAG